TCACAGTGACTTGCTGTTTGCCATCTCCCACAGTGACTGGCTGCATGCCATCTACCACAGTGTCCAGTTGTTCGCCATCTTCTACAGTGACTGGTTGTTTACCATCTCCCTCAGTGACTGGCTGTTTGCAATCTGCCATAGTGACTAGCTGTTCGCTATCTCCTACAGTGACTGGCTGTTCACCATCTCCCACAGTAACTGGCTGTTCGCCTTCTCCCATAGTTAATGGTTGTTCGCCATTTTCCAAAGTGGCTTGCTGTTTGCCATCCGGCACAGGACTTTCATAGGCCTTAACAAGATAAATATCACATATTAAATATAACAAATAAATGAGTTAAGCAAGTAAGTAAGTGAGTGAGTAAGTAAGTAAGTAAGTAAGTGAGTGAGTGAGTGAGTGAGTGAGTGAGTGAGTGAGTGAGTGAGTGAGTGAGTGAGTGAGTGAGTGAGTGAGTGAGTGAGTGAGTGAGTGAGTGAGTGAGTGAGTGTCAGTCAGATATGCTGTACTTAGAATCAGTGTCTAGTGCTTTATGTATATCTATATCTATATGCACATACATTGTAAATTAAATTAAATTATATAATGTTTTATTTGATAGAGTATATGTTATATCATGCTTCTACTTTATAGTGTATGTAATGATACTCTATGAGTAAAACTTGATAAATGGCGACATGCGTTTAATACTCAGCTATAAACTTATAACAAATAACTACAATTATTAAACTCACTTCATGTTCTTTTGTTCTGTTTTCCCCTTTAACCATACGAAACATCTCTGTTGAACGGGTAACTAACACGTAACTAAAAAGAGAGATTGTTTTATTATAATTATGCAGTAAAAGTCTTATTTGTGGAAAATGTAATAGCTTGTTTATATTGTGTATATTATTCTTCAATAAAGTTTTCCTTGAAGTCGCATTTTCTAGCGGCAAAGATATTCTCTGTCATTGCATTGCAAAAAGAATTTACATACCTAACAACAAAGAACACAATTGCCAGCAACGCCATGCAGATATACCATCCTTCTTCAACAATAGTATCTTGAACATTGAACGCATTACAGCTAATAATCAGGTTCACCAAATATACGAGGCATGCCTGGGCGAAAAAAGGACAGCTGTCAATATATCCGAACAATTAGGTGGCGTATTGCCAATGTCTGTGAGTAAATGTGATATTATCCATGTTATCCAAGAATCCATTCGCTATTGAGTATGAGAGGCACATTAGCATTAAGCAATGACAGAATTCGTTATATCTCCGATCTCATCGATATCAGAATTAATTCCCAAAATGCTTTAAAGGGGCACCTCCAGTTAAGCCTAATCTCACAACAAATTTACATTCTGGATTAAAATTACAATGAATAACAAAAGATAGATTGACATTGTAAACAACATAAACAATAGTGTCCCATGATTCTTTGGTGCAATCCCTGGGTTTGGAAGGTTCCCCTTTAATAGGCCTAGGATTATGTGATGTGACTATACACACTTGCTTAAAGTGTTGTAAGCTTTCACACGGTACGAACAAATCACTAAATTTAAGAACAGTTCGGAAAACAGTGTAATAAGTATTCAACTGCGCACATGTAAGGTAACGTTATTAAACGAAATGCCCGCGGCCAATTAACGTCACAGCTTCCAACAGAACGCCACTGAGATGCGGCGAAATATGGAAACAACAGCGTCTACCTCAATATGGAGACTTGGCTTCATGATAGCAGCAAGTCGGAAAGGTTCCATGCCTGAAATAAGAAGATACGTGTACATCAATCTCATACTCTAATACTATATGGGAGTTGTGACAGATTTGCTCGCCAAATACAATTCATAAATTTAATACATATATACATGTAATATGTATTCAAAGCGCCTATACAGTTCGACTGTTATTGGAACATTTTAAGCTTTGTGTAAAACTATATAAATATGTATCAAAGGTATTATTCATATTTATTTAAATTTGGAGACTTCAAATCAATATGCACGACATCAGTCTTGTCCTGTATAATGACAGATAACATCTCAGCATAGTGACTATTAATAATTAACATAATCACGGCCTTCAACACCGTAATTGTTTACACCTAAAGGTTGGTGCCCGATTTTGATTATTTTTAAGTAATCAATATGTGCGTGTGTGTTGAATGGAGCGTAACACGCCAGACACCACAAATCACAAACCGGGTTATCTGTCACGACCTGTGGGTGGGTCACGGCATGACACAAACCATGAATCACCGTCATTATTTGCCCTATTGTATATTTATTGATCTTTGCCCGAATTTGAGTCAGCCAAGCAGATATAAACAGAATATAGAAAAAATTGTTAACATAAATACCGCACTTTCATACACTTTCACTACATTGTGGTCTTCACTAATAGTTTGCCCAGTTGAAGACGTATTTTTTTATATTAATATTTTATATATTAATTTGTTCCAAATTGTACGTTTGTGTCGCAGTGTACGAACCTCGGTTTGAATAACGACGATTAGTTTTACATTTATCCTGCAACGTGGGACCGACTATTAAATAAATATCGTTTAACAAACATATTTGCCTTCATGTCTGTTGATTTTACATTGGAAATGCTGATGGCTACAGTATCAATGGCGAAATAGATAACATATTTCCCATCTATGTGTAATATGGCATCCCATAAGCATACATAACTGTTTTTGGATTGACTAAATACGATTTGCTACAAAAGTGGCGGTGGCACAGGGGGCAGATGGGACGGTCGCCCCTCGAAAAAAAATTGGGGGGGCGTCTCCCCTCCAAAATCATGCATAAACCGTTTGTGATAGAAGAATCTGCCCCTCAAAATGCAGGAAATAGCGTTTCAGAGGTCCTAGATTTCAGAATTTTTAAGGGGAAGCATGCCCCGGACTTTCTAGTACAGCAGATCTTGCCCCATGAAATATTTCGTGCAGCCGCCTTTGTACAGAGATGCGCCGGTAACCCTTAAATTGCAGTTTGCTTTTGCCATGGCGATTATCCCCTCTTATGCCGTTTCCATCATCCATAATATTACAAGGAGACGGAAATGTAGATATATATGGGCTAGAATCAGTTAAGAATTTAGGTAAATAAAAGAACGTCTGTGAAAAGTGTTTTGTGCAATACTTAACTACTTACTGACTTTATTGGTATTGTTAGGACGAGTAACTGTTATTCTTGCTCGATGCTCAGAGTTATTATTTTTGACAGATATAATTTTCATTGAGTATACTAGTAATCATTAGCGAACGCAACAAAATATATGCACAATCAGAATAAAACGCATTAAAGCAGGAGTTGAAAATGGCGGACCAATAGCTCAAATCCAGGCCCAAGCCCAGACTGAAATCAATGGGCGTGATCACGAATATTCACTGACACCGCGTCTCCTCTCTACAGTAACTTTGACTGTTTATGCATTACCGAACGGGTCTATAATCAACTTAATTACGTGAATCTTACCTGAATGCATTGAGTAGTTGAAGTCGTTGAATGTAAGATGAGTGTTTTAAAGCAACAATCGAACACGCTGTGTTTCTAAAGTTAATTATTGATTAATTAATTATCGAATTGCTAAGTCCAGATTAGCTACAAATCGCTACTACAATTAAAAACAGCGATCCATTGGTCGAGTTTTGGCTACGCCAAGTACGGACTAAGATTTAACCTCAGATTAATATTAGTCTGAGATTTAACCTAATTTCATGTGTTTACATACCGACTACACCCAATTGCGTTCACGCACGGAAGGTAACAGCGGTTAGCACGGGCCAAGGAACACCCACAATATAGAAATCTTCAGTTCTTTTAAACTATGATTACCCAGTGAAGTAACTAGGAAGGTATACACGTTAGTTCTACGGTTATAAAACAATATCAAAGCAAATTCAGACAGTGCAGATTGCAGAATAACAGGACTCGGAAGTTGTTCTCATTGTAAGTTCATTTTTTTCTCGAGAACTGTCACTATATGGATGTACCCGCGTTGGATGCCATGTCGGAAATGGCATACCGAATGAATAGTTATGAATATAATAGTAAATCTTCTGAATCTGGCATTTTGGGCGCCGAGCCTGATTTAACCCGTACTTAGCGTTTCTTGGCCCTCGATTACCGTTTGCGCAAGTTGTCTTAGCAAGTGTTAACGTTTTGACCTTCTAGCCCGTGCTAAGGAGCTGTGCGCGAACGCATCAACTGTGTTTCACGTATTGGACTTCTTAAAGCTTCAAGTTGAATTTGGGTTAATCAGACAATTGTTGATTTCAAAAATCTCTCAATCGGAAAAATAATAACAATTTAACAACAATTAAAATGGCTTCACATTGCCTGTCAGTTGAGAATATTCGATTGAATATATACATTGTTTACAGAGAACGTGTAAAAATGCATTCATTCAGTCAGGGATGAATTACACACTATTACGGATTGTCTACATTTCCAAATTATTAGATTAACAGGAAAGCAAACAAAACAAGATATAAGCCCTCGATTATGTAGTTTTGATGAGACTTTAAGGTGTATCTAGCTTTCGTGCTGTTTTTATAAAAGTGTTACGGCGAAGTTTGGTTTTTTGCATTTTTGAAAGATAATTTGTAATGTTAACAGTCAATCCAACGAATCAGTTACACGACTTATTTCCAATAAATCTGATATTATCTATCAAACGTTTTGGTCATGTGTCGCGTTGTTCGACCACCATTGTTGTTCGTATTTTTTTATGCAAGACTGATTGACTAGAAGAAAAAAAACAGCCTCGGATCGGTTAAGACTCATCGTGTAGAAAAAATCACGACTCGGATCGGTTGTATGCTGCGCACATGATACGAACATGTGTAATCTCAGCCGTTGATTGCATTCCCTCATCGACCAGTTGATAGACTGACTACCCGCTTGGCTGATCAGAATGAACGTAGTTCAAGTCCCGGGTTTTGCCGCTAGAGAATACACAAGTTTTTTTTCAAAAAGAAAGATGTAAGTGGCACTACAAGTTTAACGCACGTTGATCATAAGAGAACAACTTCCGTCAGAAACTGTCTGGTCAACCAGTAAAACAAGGAAACTATCAAACTATCTAATTTAAGTGTAAAGCCGAATAGCTCCCAGCGAGGAAGCTGACCGATTCTAGAGAAAAGACGGCATGATCAGAATAGCCATGAGCCCAAAACTAGTATAAGGCATTTGTCGTGGTGTCTGCCATATGTTCACTCATTTTTGTAGATCGATAGTGGTAGATGTGTTATCATAGTTGGCAGCACGAGTTTCAAAAAATCAGTTGAAATTGTGTAATGTATCCATGGGGAATCTTCCTGAAAGTGCATATAGCTGGTTGGGTATTTATCCACGGGCAGAAGCCGATTGCATTTTTCATCAAGCTTGACATCATGTGATAAGCTTTTTTGCATATCTTTATGTGCGTCATCACATGAAAATTGTGTTCAGTTGAGTAAAGAAATACAAAATTTGCATCACAAAATGCAACAGGTTAATGGGGGGGGGGGGTGCACACTGCATGGAACTGTTTGGTATCAGTGAAATGGTCCTGACATATTGGACAAAATAATTTCATCACTTGAATTGAATTAGCAATCATGTCACAGTTCCAAAGTGTCAATATAAGTTTTAAATAACAGCCAAAATTACATATTTTGCATATTAAATAAGATAATTTTCCTGATCGCTTGATATTTGTATACTTCAACCTACTCAAATTATGCAATGCATCAAATAAAACATGCAAAGAATTTTGGCAAAAAAAAAATATAGAATTCCTACCTACCCTTTACTATATTTAGCTGGTCAATGCAAACAGATTTTTACCTTTGGCACAACTATGAATTGACCTAATGGCATTGTTTTCATTAGATAACACACTATCTTCCCAAATAACCAATGTCCACTGTATAATAGGTATATTATACCATCATGCCATGGTACACATAAAAAATATACTCCCTCCCCCAAAAACTTCTGTATTGTAGAATTAATCAAGTGCGATATTGTTTCAATTTGATCAGAAGTGAGTCTATGGCCGATAAAGTCCCATTTTATAATAAAATACAGTACTGGTCTGAAAGATATTTGTCTTCTGCAACAAAAACTACACATGACAGAATGGTATAAATAGTTTATTAATAAAATAGATTCGTTGTTCATTAATAAGAATAGCTTGATTACATCACACCGTCATAAAAGCAAAGAGCCAGAAGATGTAGATAAAGACAAAATATTACATTGTTGAATATATTACAGAAGTACGATAACAATGACAGATCATAGGGTTTACCATTAATGCTGACAAACTATCAGGGAAAAATACAAACAACCTATAATCTGAAATTTGTATAATTTTGTTCATTTTTCCTGGTTTATTTTACATAGAAACAAGGCAGGTCAAATAAAAGTATATTTTTGTGATGAACAATATGATTGTTTACAATGGTGGTTCGATGGTCTTATTTTTTTTATTTCATCATTTAACCACAAATTAAACATACAGGTATGTATAATGTTGACAATCATTTGCCATTCACTGAGCACCACTACAATACTGTTGAGAGAAGGCGATGGAACAAAGGCAGATAACACATTTTAACTCTGTCTACATTGTTCAGACCTAATCTGCAATTTTGGTTCATGTACTTTCAAATTTGGTTTAAAATTATTATTCAAGTTTAGTATTCAAGAAGTTAACCACATTGGTGTACTGGTTCAGAAGACTACAAGGCTAGTTTTAGTCAGTATCAAAACCTGGATGAAGACATGTTACATCAAAACAAGCTGTTCCCAAGAAGAGTCAAATAAAACATGCACATAGCAGTGAACGATAAATGTAATATGTACAGAACATATAGGACAGAACATTACATTTTTGCCTGTAGACTATTATAGAGTGAAACGGTGAATTTATTTTCTTATAATCCCTATAAAGTGTTCACCACAAAGGGGCGCCTAAAAAACTAAAAGGGAAAGGGGTGTACTGTAAAATACTTTCACTTGGAATTGATTTTCGCTATTTTCGTTGAAAGAATAATTCAGTGAAAATAAAATCCAGCAAATATACCTTTTTTCCTATATTTTACATTCAGCCTGTCAAAAATCAGTGAAAATAAATTCCATATCGAACACCCAAAAAGTCTTTTCAGTAAAAATTAATTCCAGCTAAAACAAAGTATTTTACAGTATATTTATCCAGAATAGAATTGTATCAAATGTAGCAGTGTCACAGTCAATGTACATAGTAAAATGAATTCCTAATCATCAAGCAGGTGGGAGGATTGAGTCTGGAATAGGTCTCAAAAATATCCGTACAAATTCTTCATATTTAACAAATCCATTTTGTGGAATTCCAGCCTCTCTGAGAATTTCGTCCACTGCAAATAATAAAACAATAGATAATTAATTTAAATATTATAACTGTCAAGCTAAAAATTTATTATGACAAACTTAACAAACAATTCATATACATACATATCATAAAAAAAAACGCAAGCATAAAAATACAAAACAGTGCCAACATAAAGATTGAAATTAAAAAAAGAAAAAATAAGGGGCAACACATTTAAAAACAAGCAGCCTATCGGCTGAGATAGCTCCGCTGTTAGCAATGCACATTTCAATTAAAGAACTGAAGACATCTTTAGAAAATGAACAATATGAATAGTATCAAAGCAATCGGACTTACAGTTTTTAACAAGAAGTCGAAAATATCACTTTTTACCAAAAATTACAAAAATATTCACCAAAATAAATTAGAGAATTGAAGATATCACAAAATGAACAAATCTGAGAGAGGTCCACATGTAGTACCTATATATGTAATATCAAAGCAATTGAACTATTGGTTTTTAACAAGAAGTCGAAAATACAACTTTTTACCAAAAATGACAAAAATATTCACCAAAATTAGAGAATTGAAGATATCATCACAAAATGAACAAATCTGAGAGAGGTCCACATGTAGTATCTATATATGTAATATCAAAGCAATCGGACTTGCGGTTTTTAACAAGAAGTCGAAAATATCACTTTTTACCAAAAATGACAAAAATATTCACCAAAATTAGAGAATTGAAGATATCATCACGAAATGAACAAATCAGAGAGAGGTCCACATGTAGTACCTATATATGTAATATCAAAGCAATTGCACTTGCTGTTTTTAACAAGAAGTCGAAAATAT